TGCAAGAGCAGTCAGTGCTCTTAATCGCTGAGCCATCTCTCCAGCCCCACTTATTTGTTATTTTTATTTTATGTATATGTGTGTATTGCCTGCATGTAGGTAAGTGCACCCATGTCAGGCAATGCTCACGGAGGACAGAAGAGACTGTCGGATCCCCTGGAACTGGAGTTACGGCCAGTTGTTAGCTGCCATGTGGGTGCTGGGATTCGAACCCAGGTCTTCTGTAAGAACAGTCAGTGTTCTTAACCGCTGAGCCATCTCTCTAGCCCCCAAATTAAGCCTTTTAAACAAATATTTTTATTGAATTTTTGCAATTTTTATACAATATAGTTTGAGATGGTATTTAGATTCCTTCCCCTATCCATACCTCCCCCCACTGCCCCACGCCTTATTTAAAATACTCTCAAAAATTATAATATGGCCTATAGAATCTGATTTGTGTCTCCCAGTGTCCTTCAATGTGGGTCCAACCACTGGGCCCACCAGGAGTCCCATCCCTCACAGCAGCCATCAATTGCCAAAAGATCCTTAGGTAGGTTTGAGATTTCTAACCCACTTCCCCATGTCTATGCTGGGGATTCTGTCTTGTTAGAGCTTGCATAGGACTTGTACATGCTGTCACCAGTGCTGTGAGTTCATATGAGTAACTGACCAGCTGTCTGGAAGACTGTTTCCTTGTGGTCATCCTCAAGGCTCAGGGATCATTGCAAATTCAATTTTTTGATCCTTAAGCAGATATTTCCTATTTACTTCACTATGTGACAGTTAACTACAGCTCCTTCCCACTTTTTATAAGAAAACAAATCATCTAAATACATGAACAAGAAGACACTTGTGGTGTTACATAAAAGGTAAAAGAAATTTATAGATGGATTTACTAAAAATTGCCTAATAGTACCTGATGCATATAGTTGATGATTATTAGCACACACCACAAACACACAGAACCCAACTCTTTAACAGTCCATTTTGCCAACAAAACATGGACTACTACTCAATCCTGGGCAGGGGCAAAGGGCCTAATTATTTTAATGTAATACTTTGACTTGGTAATTCTACTTCCAGGAATCTATCCTAAGGAAATATACCCATAAAATGCAATGACATATACAAGGATATTTACTGACACACTGCAGCAACGGGGGCAGGGGGGGAAGCACAGAACAGATAACCCTCAAAAAGACAGCTCTTTAAATGATGGTATTAGCCACATAAAGAAGTACAAGTCATAACCTGAACATATATAGCTAACACGCCTTCATATGAACAAATTTAAAAACCACCTGGGCCATGCATGGTTGCGCACACCTTTAATCCTAGCACTCGGGAGGCAGGCGGATCTTTGTGAGTTCAAGGCCAGCCTGGGCTACATAGTGAGTTCCAGGACAGCTGGGGCTACAGGGAGACCCTGTCTCAAAAAGACTAAAAAAAAAAAAAAAAAACCCAGCTGGAATACTATAAAAATTCACAATTTGAAAGATGGAGAGGCATGAAGATAATGGAAAAATTAATAGTTGACCCTATTTCCAATGACAAAATTGGCATTAATAAAGTAATAGCTTAAGTTTATATATCTGGCTTTCACACATAAATGGAATATATTAAGGGACAGTGGATATTCTTCTGCTTTCCTAATGGAAGCCACAGGACAGCTGAGTAAAGAAAAAGAAACATAAAGAATTCCTTGGTCTGGGGATATAGCCCCAGTACCACAGTGAAAAAGGATTTCTTGAGTGGGAATATATTCAAGAGTGAAAGGTTATGGAAGGTATTACTATTTTAGTATTAATAAGCAGTGATCAGTATTTGAACAATGGTCTATAAAATGCAGAAATGCAAACTTAGCAATTCATTCAATAAACTGCCATTATTCTTCCAAACACTTAATTCTAGATGTTTCCAAGTTATCACTTTTTTGCTTTATTTTGTTTTTTATTTCTTATTTTTTGTTTGTTTTTTTTAGACAGACTCTCATTATGTGCCCCAGGCTGGTCTTGAAATTGAGATCCTCCTGCCTCTAGCTCTGGAGTGCTGGGATTAGAGGCATGAGTTAGCAGTTAATCACTTTCACTATTTTTTTAAATTTAATTTAATTTTATTGTATGTGTCTGAGTATATTGCCTGCATGCATATAAGTGTACCCAAGTTATAGAATGCCCAAGGAGGTCAGAAGAAGGTGTCAGATACCCTGGAACTGGAGTTACAGACGGTTGTTAATCACCATATGGGTGCCGAGAACTGAACCCAGGTCCTCTACCAGAGCAGTCAGTGCTCTTAACCAGTGAGCCATCTCTTCAGCCCAGATTCTAAACTTTTCCTTAGATTTTAAAAGATAAATCCACTAGACTTACCTTAAAAGGGAACACCTGTGCTAGGTTTGTGGCACATACCTTTAGTCCCAGAGGCAGGTGGATCTCTGTGAGTTTGGGGCCAGCCTGGTCTACAACGTGACTTCCAGGCCAGCATGGGCTACAAGGAGACCCTGTCTCAAAAAGACCAAAAATAAAAAGGGGTGGGGGGGGGGAAAGAGTTGTATAGAATTAGGTACCTAAACACTACAGGCAAAATCATGTTTCTGTGGCACATGCCTTTGATCCCAGCACTCGGGAGGCAGAAGGAGGCACATCTCTATGAGTTCAAGGCCAATCTGGTCTACATAGCAAGTTCCAAGCCAGCTGGGGCTGCAGGGAGACCTGGCCTCAAAAAAGACAAAAAAAAAAAAAACAAAAAACAAAAAAACCATGGTGTTTACTATCATTCATGTATATAGTAAAAGTAAGATATGATAAGTTTATTAAATCGTCACTTTCCAGATTCCCTTTCCTACTTCACATTTGTGTCTTCGATGGCTCTCATCTAACAGAAGAGAAGATAAAAATATAAAATAGGAAATCCTCCACCTATCCACCATGTTCTAAGCTATGGCTCTTCACTACTCACCATGCCCTCAAAGCCAACTCTGTAAAGGTTCTTAGCACCATTATCCCAGAGAACATAGGCTGCACTGTGTGGGCTCGAGGCACTCCAGTCCTGGATTTCCGTTACCTAACAGAAGTTTTGGGGGAAAAAAAAAAGACTTTAAAAGGACGGAATTGTTAGTTGACTTAATTATATTTAAATCTTAAAAATTACTTCATCATCAACTTACATCACAAGATCACAAAAAATATTTATGTACCAAATATGCCCCTTCTAACATTGCTGAATTATCAATAAAGCCATATTTTTCCAGAATTATAACTTTTGTTAATTTTGTTTTTTGAGATAGGCTCCCACTACATAGCCCATCCTGGCCTCAAACTCCAATTCTTCCTGCCTTAGCCTCCCAAGCGCACTATCACCCCCAAGTTATATGATTTTTTTTTTTTTTACAGGTTTTTGTGGGTTTGTTGTTTGTTTGTTCGTTTGTTTTTCTTGTGATGCTAAGGAACCAAGCCCAGGGCTTTCTGCATGCTAGGCAAGCACTCTACTGCTAAGTTACATCCCCATCTGGTGCTTATTTTTAGTCTGTTTTTCTGATTTTGAGACAAGGTCTCAGAAAGTAGCCCAGGCTGATCTCAAACTCTCTGCTTGGATTATAGGCTTTTATCACTACACCTGACCTCATTTCAGTTGTGAATTACATTCTAAAGCCACTGTAGAAATTTTAAGCTGAGAGGCATAGGATTACATTAATAGATTATCAGAAAATAATTTGATGCAAAACTTAAAATCTGTTAGGCCAGGAGTGGTAGTGTATGAATTTGATCCCAGCACTCAGGAGGCAGAGACAAGTGGATCTCTATGACTTCAAAGCTAACCTGGTCTACACAGTAAGATACAGAACAGCCAGGGCTACATGGTGAGACCCTGTCTCAAAAAATGAAATCTTTTAAGAATAATGTATTCTTTTTAGCCAATTATCCAATACAAAATTTAAAATTTTAACCAAGCATCCAAAATGAGTGAAGATAACCTGCTACAAGTTGACAAGTATTAAGGTTGCTGAAGAGCCTCAGTGGCAAAGAGCTGCTTTTTCCTGCAGTAGCACTCCTCAGTTGCCTTAAACAAGCAGGTTACCCCAACTAAAGCAGTATGTCTATAGCTGATTAAAGAAATCTCAATCCATCCCTGCCTGCCCCCCTCAGCAGTTACCATTGCTTAAAGGCTTAGAGTTAAGTGCACAAAAATGCATACAATGAACACCAGAGCTGTGAATGAAGTCACTTGAACTACAACTAAGAACAGGGAGCTGCTCAGGTGTAATTCAAATTACTTTTCTCCATTCTGATACTTATAACCACTAACCCTCCACAAACATACAAACAGACTAATATTACTTAAAATATATAATGAAAATTTTTCTGTTCTGTACTAAAGAAATAGTTTTGTCAAGTGTGTATTTCATGGTGCTTTTTGTAGAAATAAAATGATTTTATGTTTAAGATCTAATGAACCATTTGAGATTTTTTTTTTTTTTTATGTGTATGAGTGTATTGTCTGCATGTATGTGAATACACCCGTGTCATGCAATGCCGTGGAGGTCAGAAGAGGGCTTCAGATTCCCCTGGGACTAGGTTAAGGACAGTTTATAGCCACCATATGGGCTGGGAACCAAACCTGGGTCTCTGCAAGAGCAATCAGTGCTCTTTAACCACTGAGACATCTCTCCAGCCCTGAGATATGTTTTAAGTAATTAATAGCAATAATTTTCAGGGCTGGAGAGATGGTTCAGCAGGTAAGAACACTGATAGCTCTTGAAGAAGACCTGGATTCAAATCCCAGCACCCATATTTCGGCTAAGAACTGTCCATAACTCCAGTTCCAGTAGATCTGATGGAATCATATGGCCTCTGCCCAGGTATACCTACCTACATGCATCATAACACTCATACACATCAAATTTTTAACTTTAAAATTTTTATATAATTTTCAAATACATTATAGATATATAGCATATGTATACTTTAAAGAATAAAAAGATGAAATAAACACCCACATAATTATTACCCAGCCTAAAATGAGAGCCAAGAACTTTCCAAATCCTCTTTGTGCAGCTCTTCATGTCCATCCCAAAAGAGGTACCTACCTGCTGCCTCCCAAAAGAAATACCTATCTTCCTGAATTTAGTTCATCACTGTCCTGCTGTGCTGTAGGATTCTGTTCCACTGACCACTGCATAATCTTACACAGCAAGTTTCTACTGTACCGATGTAAACATGCAATCCGCAGCAAATCATTTCCTTCTGATTCTAACATCGTCAGATAGCACTTCATTGTTTTACAATGAGAAACTATACTAAGTAAGTCTGAATTTTTATAACAGGAACAAGAAAAGCATTTGACTAGCTAAAGGACAAAGATGAATTCTAATTTTATCAAATTCACTTTAACCTCCAAATAACTTGGGATATAAACAAGTTTACCAATTCAGAATCAAATGAAATGCCTTCATTTGCTAACAGGATGATGTGATTTACTAACTTTTAAAATCTGACTAGGATGCAGCTCAAAGGTAGAGTACTTGCCTAGTATGAACAAGGCCTTGGCTTCAAACCTCACCAAGAGGGAGAGAGGGAGGGAAGGAAGGAAGGAAGGAAGGAGGGAGGGACAAAGGGAAGACAGAGTATTTAAGTGGGCACCTATAATCCCAACTACTTGTGAAGCTGAAGTGACAGGATTGCTTGAGCTCAGGAATTCAAAAGCAGCCTTGGCAACATAGAAAGACCACAACTCCATTTGAAACGCTAAAATTTGTAGATTGCTGAGAAACAGTACATGGGTATGACAATGCTACCTACACCTATATCCATTCACCAATCATAACACCAATAATGCTAATATAATCAGAATATATATATATATATATATATATATATATATATGCCCTTAATATGATGCAACAGAAAATACACATATCAAGCTTGGGATGTAGCCCCAGTAGCAAAGCACTGCAAAAAGATGCTGGGGGGCGGGGGTATGAATCACTTGTGAGATCATATAAAAATTATTTAATGGGGCTGGAAGAGATGCCTCAGCAGTTAAGAGCACGAACTGTTCTTGCAGAGGATGCGGGTTTGATTTCCAGCACTCACATGGCAGCTAACAACTGTCCCTAACTCCAGTTCCAAGGGATCAGACACCCTCTTCTGACTTCCACCGGCACTGCACAACATGGGTGCACTTACATGCAGGCAATACACTCATACACATAAAATAATAAATACAATTAGTACCTGTCTAGCATACATGAGGCCCTGGATTCAATCCCCAGCACTGCATTAAATGGGGAGTTGTGGCACATGCCTGTAATCCAGAACTTGGGAGATAGGAGTGAGAGGATCAGAAATTCCAGCTCATCACTGAAGTAAGTTCGAAGCCAACCTGGGCTATATGAGACATGTCTCAAAAAGAAGAAAAAAGTTTGTTTTTTTTGGGGGGGGGGTTCTTTTTGAGACAGGGTCTCCCTGTAGCTTCAGCTGTCCTGGAACTCACTATGTAGACTAGGCTGGCCTTGAACTCACAGAGATCCACCTGCCTCTGCCTCCCAAGAGCTGGGATTAAAGGCGTGTGCCACCACACCCAGCATGAAGAAAAAAGTTTTTAAATGTCAATGCAGTCAGGTGTGATGGTGTCTTTAAACTTAGCACTCCAGAGGCAGAGATTGGGTAGATCTCTATAAGTCTGAGGCCAGCCTGGTCTACACAGCAAGTTCCAGGACGGATGGGGCTACAGAGAGACCCTGTTTAAAAACAAAAAACAAACAAACAAAAAAAACCTAAATGTCAATGCATGTAATCCGAGCTAAAGAAGAATGATTCCAAGTTTTAATAAGGCCAGCCTGGGCTATAGAATGAGTTTAAAGGTAGCCTGTTAAAAAAGGGGCTGGGTGTATGCTCAGTGGTAAAGTGATTGTCCACTATAAGTGAGGCCGTGGGTTCAATCTACAGTACTACATGGGGGAAGGAGGGAGGGAGGGAATAAGATAAATCAGCCAATGATGAATCAGCCAAATAACAAATGAAACAAACAAATGGCATTTTTAAAGCTTCATGACTGTTGACGTTAAGTAATGAATGTATGGGAGTCGATTATGCTATGCTATCTATTTTCACATGTGATTGAGATTTTTTTTTACCATCAAAAGTATTTCTAGGAGCTGGAGAGATGGCTTAGCAGTTAAGAACACTGGCTGCTCCTGCAGATATCTGGGTTCTGTTCTCAGCACCCACTCTAGTTTCAGTGTATCCGACATCTTCTGGCCTCCAAGGATACTACTACACAAATGAGTGACTTACATACATGTAGGGAAAACACTCATACATAAAAGTAAATCAGAAATTTTTTTCAATTTTTTAAAAAGAAATATGATTTAGTATACCTACATAAAAGAACATATTTTTTATAAAACAAAAATAGCCTTGAACTGCTAACATGGGGTAGTGGTACTTAAGAACTATAAGAATGTACGACATATCATCGACGTAAGTTACATGAGTTGATTGGATAGAGTAGCCAGCACAGAAGGGAAAGACAACAGCTGTCTTCATTCACATTCATAGGGCAAAGGTCAAACCACAAAAATTGAATATGGTCTTAAATATATACTTAAAGAATGGTACTCTGAAGATTTATTACCATTATTATTATTATTTAAAGTTCCTTCAGTCACTCTCAGGTATACAAAATGGTTTATTTTTTCTCATTTGGCTCTTAAAATGCAACTTGCATTAAGCCACAACAAACCAAAAATGTATAGTAATGATTCAAAGCCTCAAAAATGCCTAGTTTTGAATCCCTCTCCCACCCAGAAAAAAAAGTACAAATATAGAAAAAAAAAACTCAAAAAAGTTCCACTTCTGTGGCTTCAGACTTTAATAGCAACTGCCTTAGAAAGTGGTTCTTCCAATCCTCTGATCACATAATCAAGTATGGGGAAGAATATGAAATTATTTTTCAGGATCTTTTTTCTTCTTATGAACTCTTTCTTCAGTTGCTAGAACTGTGCTCTACCAAAAGATAGAGTTGGCTGAGTATGATGATACCAAGAGACAGAGGACATGTGAAAGCCAACCAGGAAAAGATAGCAGCATCGATCACAAGCTTTCTTCAAAGAGAGCTTTCAAGATGATGGCCAGGCAGCAGGCACAAAGGGTAATCCACCAGGACTACAGCCATGTGATTCACGGGCCACACAAGTTGGCCAAGCTCCTCACTGCCATTGTATTTTGTTGACCTGAGGACACACTGCCCAGTAAGCCTGACCCACATCAAGTGTATCAAATGTATTATTTGGACTATATAATGATTTTTCCACTCGTCCCTCTGCTATCCACTCCCAAACACTGACACCACCTGAGCTCGCTTTCTCTCTGTCTCTCTCTCCTCATACACACATACACACACACACACACAGACACACACATACAGAGTGAGTATTGGGTTTTAAGCTAGTCATAAACTAAGGTGGGCTTTGGTGAGCTTAGAAACCAACACTACTCAGCACCCTATCCCCTCTAACAATACTCCTACCCAACACCTAGCCCTACTTCTGCCACCCGATTGTCCTATGTTGTAGCCTGTGTTCCCAAGATTCATGAACAACTATGCCCGCTGACAGCCCGAGAAGGGGGATTGTAAACTCTCAGAGATGTTGAAACAAAACAGATTATTCAAAGACTACTCAGTTCCTATTTTTCTGGGAGCCTTCATCTAAAAGGAACCTTCTGCCCTGTCCTTACAACAGCTAGATCTGTGATTGTTACTTCATTTTTCAAAACTTAAATACCAATTACTGTAGAGACAATACTAAATAAAAAGCAATGAAGACAAATAAGGGAATGATAAACACAAAATCAGGGTTCTAGTTACCTTGGAGGGGGCCTGCAACAGAGACAAGCATAGAAGGCTTTTTAAAGAGTCTCGTAACACTCCCTGTACACTGAGGACGGAGGACAAAAAATACCCATTCCTTGAACTTTCATATTTGCTTTATGTTCTTTGGTATATGTGATACCAGATGGCTATGAACTCTATGAGGATGTTCACTTTAAAATATGGTTAAAACATATTTGTCTAATTTTCAGATATTAAAAATAGACTTTATGGCTGGAGAGATATTTTGAAACTGGATACAGTGGCGCACGCCTTTGATCCTAGTACTCGGGAGGCAGAGGCAAGAGGATCTCTGCGAGTTCAAGGCCAGTTGGGGCTACAGGAAGACCCTGTCTCAAAAAGACACACACACACATATATATATATAGTGTGTGTGTGTGTGTGTATATACATATATACACACACACGTACCTACACATATGTTTATAAAAGGTAACAGTGGAACTGGTAGTTACTGATAAGCAAGTTCCAAATGTGAAATGCTACCCATTTCAGTACATCTTGCACAATATAAAATATAGTCAATAATATTTGTTGACTAAATAAAATGGCTCATGAGATCCAAAATAAATACAACCAACTTAATCAAATACTAGCCACACAGAATTCTGCTATGGTAGCTGCCACATGACCTGAGTGGAATGACAGAGGTCAGTGGACTTGACAACCATGCAGCTGCCTACCAGCTAGGGGTGAGCTCACGGTACAGCACTTGCCTCACTGGGCCTTTAGCTTTCTTTTTTTAAAAAGAAAAAATAAGTAACTGCTTACACAGAAACAGGCCTTTAAATGAATGGACATAAACAAGTCAGTTCAAATGATGCTTTTACTCAACAAAACTGGGGACCAAACCCAGGGCCTGAATATGTGAAGCAAGTGCTCCCCTACTGAGCTGCAGATAAAATTTTAGCAGCAGGAAAATCAAGAACATGAGATGCTGCTTAGGGAGGACTGGCCCAAATGGTATATTCAGAAAGGTACCTCTGGGCAACAAAATAGCACCACGAAACCTAAGGGAAAACCTATCTAACAACCTTCTGAAGAAACACCAACACTAACAAATAAACAGGAATACTCTTTTCTTCCAGGAAATGGAAGGAAGAAAGGAAGGGTAGAGAGAGGAGGGAAGAAGGGAGATTTTAAAAACTGTTCCTGGCATGGGGGAAAAAAAAAAGCCAAAATTTACTTACAGTAATAATAAAAATATTCTATACACTCAACATTCTAGAATACAAGATGAATTTTTTTAAAGTCTATATTGAGCTGGGCATGGTGGCACATGCCTTTAATCCCAGCACTTGGGAGGTAGAGGCACACAGATCTCTGTGAGTTCAAGGCCAGCCTGGTCTACATAGCGAGTTCCAAGCCAGCTTGGGGCTACAGGGAGACCCTGTCTCAAAGACCAAAAAAAAAAAAAAAAAAGAAAAAAGTGCATACCTTTCCTCTACGCCCATTTCCTCCATCTTGATCTTCCCACTGCCAGTCCACTCCTCGTACCACTCTGGCACCTGCAAAGATTCCTCTGGCTGTAATCTTCTTAGATTTTCTACGAGACTCCAACAGAACCCTAAAAATAAAATTTTTGTTTTCAAGTTTATATAAAAATGAGTAATGGTAATTTCTATGTAAAAGCATTTATATGGCTATAAAATGTTACCTCCTTAAGAGAAAGATAGGGCTATATTATCCATTTTACAAATGAGGAAACTTGAGACATGAAAAAGTATTTTGCTCAAGATTACAAAAATTTAAAAAGTAATGGACTCAAAAAAGGAACCAAGGGAGCTGGGAAGATGGCTTAGCAGTTAAAAGTGCTAAGAGAGCTGGGTGCTCTTGCAGAAGACCTGGGTTCAGTTCTCAGCACCTACATGAAGACTCACAACCATTCCATAACTCCAATTCCAGGAGACTCTGATGCCTCTTCTGGCCTCCTTGGGTACTACATGAGCACGGTGAACATACATGCAGATAAAACACTCATACACACAAAATATAAGTAAATAATTAATTTTAAAAAGGAACCTAGTCTAACCACATCAGGCTACCACAATATGCTTCTTCACTACTGTATGTGGTAAAAATCACATCTCTTTATAGCTGAAGTAATATAAATGAAGGCCTAAGAAAGTTAGAACTATAATGACAAGTGGCAAGTCACACTTGGCTTCAAACTTAGGAAGAACAGTTAGTGGCAGGGCTTTGGACAACAAGAGCATGTTCTTTTTTTAGTATTTTATTTATTATTTTTATTTTATGTACATGAGCGTATTGCCTGCATGTGAGTGTACCCATGCTGTGCAATGTCCAGTGAACAGAAGAGGGTGTCAGATTCCTCTGTTATGGGTGGTTATTCACTGCCATGTGGGTACTGGGACTAGAACCCAGGTCGTCTGCAAGAGCAGCCAGTGCTCTTAACTGCTGAGCCATCTCTCTCCAGCCCCTGAAGAACATATTTTGTCTGAAGAGTACAGCAGTCCTCTCTTCTGCCAGCTGCTGCCAAGAACAAATGTAAGCCCAGTGTTCAGAGTCTTAGAGGGAGAGGTAATTAAGAATCTGTGAAAGGTTAGCAATAAGTCAAATTCTCAGAATACTGTATATACACCAGGGCCCAAGTCTGACCTATACTAAACTGTCTCCAAAGTTTTGCATACCTGTGATTATAAACCTTAAAATTATTTCACTTAATTATCTGAGCCAGCTTCTTTCTCCAAAGCCATCATTCCTTGCTCTTCTACATTCTTTTCACTCATATACCCAGATTTCAGGTTTCTGTTTTTCAAATGTTACCTTATTGCTCTATTCATCTTTAATATTCCTTTATTTCCTTAATATTAATTATGTGAGAAACAAAACTAATTTTTTCAAATTACTAATGAATGGCAAGACCATGATTTGCACTGAGATGTTGAATTCAAAACTCTATTTCTCCATTACACTTAGCTGTCTCCCTGTAACTAGGTGCATTCTTGCACCAGTGTAACATCCTATCTACATGAAAAGATTCCATCACTTAACACTCCACACCCATTGATCATACACCTCTCATCGCTCCTAAGACATCTAATACATTCCTCTCCTACAGTCCAACCTATCACATGATAACCATTCATGACCCACTATTCCCCTTAAATTGTAAACTCCTAAGGATGCTATCTTCAAATCACAAACACAGTATCTGTCATGTGCTGTGTGTGTGTGTGTGTGTGTGTGTGTGTGTGTGTACATGTTCATGTGTGCATGAATGTGTGCAGCTGTGTATGCACATGGATACAGGCCAGAAGTCAATGTTAGGTGTCTTCCTCATTTGCTTTCTCCATCTTATTTTTTAAGAAAGTCTCACTGAACCTGGAATTCAATGATTCAGCTTCAAGGATCCTCCTGTCTTAGTCTTCCCAGCAATGGGATTATAGGCATGTGCCACTGTGCCTTTTCCATGGGTGCTGGGGATTCAAACTCAGGTCCTCATGCTTGTACAAGCAAGCACTTCACTAACTGAGCCATCTCCCTAGCCCCCATATTGTCTTAATAAATGCCCGTTGATTCAATCAGTACCACAGTGTCCATTGGGTGGCAATTAACAGAACAGAAGGCATAGTGAGGAGGAAATAATCAGCCTCTCTTAAGCTGTTCTTGCATTTCCAACTGTTGAGCAGTGCCAAGTCTCCATGCTAGAGATATAGCAAAGATAGCAAAGATTATCACATAAAACAGAAAGAATAAAGTTCTTTTTACAGAGTTCTCTCACATATCAGCTGGCCCAATCCAGGACTGGTCTGATATTTGTTACCTCCTAATACTAAACCTAATCTGTCAAAAGTTACTTCCTAATCCTTCTTTGAAGACTAAGTAGGATAAAATTTGAACACTAAGAGTCAAGAATGAAGAAAAAATTGTTTCCCTTACCGTTCACTTCCTGGTGTAGTAATCCTGTAAAAGCGATGCCTTAAATGATGTTTATCTCCATGATAACAAACTGTGCACAAATCATAATTTGTGCACTCTGCACATTTCCATCGAATGCCAATGATTGGTTGTTGGCGGCAGGTATCACACATGGTTCCGTCATGCTTGATGCCTATGGAGACAGACACATGCTTCAGTTACAAATACCTGTTTGTACACTATCTTGTAGGGGAAAAAATAACAGCATATTATGAGCTATTTTAAAAATTAGGGGAAAACACTTGTAAAACCACATATAATTTCAAGGTGACAGATCTAAAATATTTTGATCAATACAAATCATAAACTAAGCATGTTCATTTCATTAAGAACAAAACTCAACAGCATTGACTTAGCACTTACCCATAAATGGATAACTAGGTTTAATGCAAAGAAAACAATACTTTCCTACCACATAAACATTTCTATCTATAAAAACTTAGAACCAAAAGCTTGGGAGATAGCTCAGTGGATAAAGTGCTTGTTTTGCAAGCCTGACAACCAGAGTTCAGATCCCCAGAACCCATGTAAATCCCAGGTGGGAGTGGTGGCCTGCCAGTAATCTCAAGCACCCAGAATGTGAAGGCAGCAGATCCCCAGAGCAAGCTGCCTAAATAGACTAGCCTATATCAGTGAGCTCTGGGTTCAATTGAGAGATTCTACCCCAAATGGAGAGCAACCAAGGAAGACTACCAGTGTCAGCCTCAAACATGTATACATGCACCCACATGTGTTCCCATAACATCAGTAAGCATGCATGCATACACACACACACACACACACACACACACACACACCTCTGAATCATTGAGTGAATTGCAACCTATTCTCCAGGTAAATACTCCAAAAGAAGACAGACTTTTATCCTCCTGAAACATGAACCTATCATGAAACAAGTGATTTCCCCCATAAACACTAAATTTTAGAAAACAGTCAGCAAAGGATGGGCATAGTGACACCCCCATAATCCTAGGAAATAGAGGTAAAGGGATCAGGAGTTCATCATCCTCAGCTACAAAGCAAATTCCAAACCACCATAGACTACATGAGACCTTGTCTCCAAAAAACAGAGGGGCAGTGAGATGGTTCACCAGCCAAGGGTGCTTTGACATCAAGTCTGATAATCTGACTTCCATCACTCGGACCCTTATGGTAGGAGGAGAAAATCAACTTCCCCAAGTTGTCTTTTGATCGTCACATGTGCACCATGGCATATGTGTCCCCATACACATGCGCGCACGCACACACACACACACACTCACACACACACTAAATATTTTTTAAATTTTTAATTAGCAATTAGGGCTAGAGAGATGGTTCAGAGTTTAAGACTATATACTGCTCTTGAAGATGAACCAAGTCACACAGCACCCACATCAGGCAGTTCACAACTGCCTGTAACTCCCAGAATCCAACACTCTCTTCTGGACTCCTTGGACACCTGCACACGTGTGCACACACTCATATGCAAACACACATGTACACATAATTAAAAATAAAATAACTTTTTAAAACTTGGTTTTGATTTACCATTTTTTATTTTATGTGCACGAGTGTTTTGCCTGCATGTATGTAAGTACACCCATGTCAGGCAGTACCCACCAAGGTCAGAAGAGGATGTCAGATTCCCTGAAACTGGAGTTATGAATGGTTGTTAGCTGCTATGTGGGTGCTGGGAACCAAACCCAGTCCTCAGTAAGAGCAGCCAGTGCTCTTAACCACTTAGCCATCTCTCCAGCCCCAAAACAACTCTTAAAGAGAAATTACCAAGCAAGTTTCCCTATTAAATGGAAAGCAATCACTATGGTGGGTGCTCGCTCCCCAACCAAATCAAGAGAAACATGGTAAAACAGCCTCCATTCAAACTGCTCACAAAAACACATGAAACAGACACTAAAGTTATTAAAAAAAAAAAACTACCACAAATTATTGAAAGTAACATTTCATTTAAGGCAATAGGATTGGGGTGGTACTCCTTTAGTATTCTGTAACATTAATATCACTACTCAATGAATTAAAGCCAGAAAAATATTTAGATTTACTTAGTTATTCATTCACTTATTTATGTGTATGAGTGTTTTGCCTGAATAGATGTAAGTGTACCATGTGTGCAATGCCCACAGAAACCAGAAAACAGCATTGGCTCTCCTGGAACTAGAGTTAAAGACGGTTGTTATCCAGCCACCATGTGGGTCCTGGGAACCAAACTCGGGTCCTCTGTAAGAACAGTCAGTGCTCTTAACCGTTGAGCCATCTCTCCAACCCTCAAACCAGAAATCTGTACAGTCTGTGGCTTGTGAACATCAATGTCACTACTTTATAAGTGCATCCCAGTATTAAGCTCAACTATAAGCGAAGACTACGTTATGTGTACAACTATGACATGCTCAGATTCAAGTTCTAACTCTCTCAAAGCTCTTTGCACCCTTTAAAAAGTTATTGTAACTCATGTATTTGCATATAAAATATTAATACTTACTTCAAAATAATTAAAGCGGTGGGCAGAGAAAGTGGCATTTAGATGAAGATTAGCCATGCTAAAGATTCCTGGTGGGTAACATGGAGATTCCTTATTCATTATTTTGTCTAAGTTGGAAAACTTTGCATAACAAAAGAGAAGTCTTTTCACTCTCAGAACCTCAGCCTCCTTTGGAAAAGGCACTATATTCTTTAGTGGTGAGGCACTATGTTCTAAAACTCAAGAATGTGCTGCACAGGCAAGATTTGGAGTACAAAAATAGTAATATTATTACTAAATCCTAGAAGAATTAGTAACTACTGCTACTCCCTAAGAAGAAACTGTATTATTCATTTTCTACATTCAAACAATCAGATTCCAAACAAAGAGCTGAACTGAGTATAGCCTATGCTTTGAACTTAAGTGGAATTGAGGGAAGGGGGGACCGAGAACAGACACTAACAAGAAACTAGAGTGCTTAATGCGCTACAAAGAGTGTGACACCCCAACATCAAATGCAGCTTACACACAATCTTTATGAAGTTTCCTACTACACAAAGCCGTGATGGTAGGGATAAAAACAGCAGACATCAATGTCTAACTCATTCAGAACTATTTTTTTTATCTGTATATGTGTATGTTTTGGAAACCAGAGGACAACCTCCAGTGTCATCCTCAGGAATATCATCCACCTCCTTTGAGATGGATCTCTCTATGGCCTGGAGCTTACCAATCAGGCTAAGCTGGCTAGCCAGTAAGCCCCAGGGATCCTCCTGTCTCTGCTTCCCCAGCACTGAGTCTGCACACCACTATGTCATTTTAACATGGATTCTGAGGACAGAACTCAGGCACCCATGACTGACAGGCAAGTATATTACCAACTGAGGTATCTCCCTAGCCAGTACTCAGAACTAGCTGCTTGTTTGTTGTTTTCACCTACTGGTGGAGGCAGGCAAGGCTTCAAATACAACTTTTTCTATAATGTGAAGAGACAGGAAAAAGATAAAAGTTTTGGCTAAAGAAAAGACTCAAGTTATGAGATGTTTCAAGAGTCCACAAAAGGTCAATGGTAGTTCAAACTAAATGAGAACAAAGAAAGTGGAGAGACAGAAAGGAGCTATTCAGGACACAGTGACTATGGGCTGTTAACACAAAGACAGAAAAGGAGTAAATGAGAAAGCATACATAATACGTTTCAAGAGAAAATATTAAGTATTTGAGATATTTAGGAACAAGCAATTAAACAGCATAACTGAAATTCAGAACCATTCTGCTTAACAAGACATATGTCTATAACCCCAGCACTCAGGTGGCAGAGGCAGAAGGGCTGTGAACTTAAGGCCAGCCCAGGCTACACAGCAAACATTAGCCGGGCATGGTGGCATACGCCTTTAATCCCAGCTGATGGGAGACAGAGGCAGGTGGATCTCTTCGAGATCGAGGCTACCCTGGTTCACATTGTGACTTCCAGGTCAGCTGTGACTAGAGAGACCCTGTTGAAAAACAACAAACGACAACAACAAAAAAAAGCAAACATTACCTCAAAAAAGAAAAAACAAAGGGAGAAAGGGGAAGAGAGAAGAAGGAAGGGAGCCATCAATCAAAAACAGGTAATGCACTAGTTAGGGCCGGAAACATACCTTGGTAACAGACTACATAGTGTACACACAATCAGTCACCAGCACCAAAACTCAATCAGAAAAGAATAAGGAAGAGTCTCACAGAAATGAGAGATGGCTAAACTTTTCAAAGGAAGAAAGAAATCACAGAAGAGCAAGCACCAAGAGCCTTCATGTTTTAGCAGGAACATGAACTATAATCAGAGGTTTAGAGACAAATTACAGAGTCAAGCAGGGAACTGCCAGATCAGACATAATTTCAGGTCTGTATATTTATACTACTACATTAAATGGCAAAAACAAGAGCCTGTGGTTTAAGACCTAATTCTGTAACGTACCAGATGCACAAAATTACAAATGAATTTAAACTATTTTAGAACCAATACTGTCATCTATAAATTGAGAAAACATTTCCTTTCAAATGAATGCTAAAGCTACATAGAGAATGAATACACTTCCAAGGACTTTAAAGCAAAATGTAAGAGATTATGCTTCATTTAATTATTTGAGTATCTCTATGCATAGCCCAAGCTAGCAAACACAGGATGATTCCCTTTCTTCCACCTTTCAAGTGCTGAGATTACAGATTAATTTTAGTATGTATTTATTAAATGTATTAGTCACTGACAGGAACAGCTTAATGATCAAAATTACCATATATCCTACTTGTCAAATTCTGCAATACTTAAACAGAAGCTGAAGAACTTAAAGTCCTCAGTTTCTCAGAGACTAGTTTGTTACTTGTGTAAATTAAGCCCATTTTAGTGAATTCTCTACCTTCTTGGTGGCCTAAAGGCCACCACTTCCCACCAATTAATAACAACACTTTATATACTATATGGCAAGTCAAGTCTGACTATATCTGTCATGAAAATTATCCTTAGCCACAGGGCCCAAAGAAATTATACTCTAGTCTAAGTGGAATATAAACTGAAATTTTAAAAACCACAAAATTACAGCTACACAACTTGTAGCTATCAATATTCACATTAGTACATGCTGCAGCCCCTAAGTACGTTCATCAAAGGACTGAACTGCAACCGTCATCTCTTCTCC